AAGAAGGAGAGGGTGCAGACAACCAGGCGTTTGGCTGTGGTCAGACAAATGGCTGTCCGAGCGACAGCGCGGGAGGAGTATAGACACTCTCCGGCACCCGGTTATTACCTTCCGGCCTCATTCCCGCGCACTGTTGACCCGCGAAAGTGGCACAGTGGTGTACCTGCCGACCTATTCTTCCACAAAGCTGGGACCAGAGCCTACGCACGTGAGTGTTCAATTTGTCTGTAGATCCCCTATTTCTAGGAAGATGCGGTGCAACACTCCGTCAAACTACCGTAACACCAATTTTGCGCCAGTTTGTTGTCATACTTTTTAAGGTCCGTTTTTAGTGCTGGGTGATATTCAGTATCGAATGCGCGGTGGGATTTAACTTGTGTGAAGCGTATCGATTTCTTGTCACACAAGCAACCAGTCCGAAAAACTCGTACAGTGAGACTGCCAAGTTGGTCATTACTTTGGGTGTTCTAAACGTTTTATTATGGTTCTTTCTCTACTGTGGAGTCACTTAGTCACCACACCGCTACCCACAATATGCAATCGCAGCATGCGATATGAGGAATTCCAGCGTTACTAGGATATCGATCTCTCAGGACTATTCTGCATGGATAAATCCCATGTCTACTCGGGCAACAGGCTGCAAAACTGGAAGCGAAAACCGCTGAAAAACTCACCAGAAAAGAAGAGCACGACGAATCCAGCGACTCCATCTGAGGGGTCATCGCACAGATTCTTCGAGGTAGTGTTTCGAAATTCTGAAATTATCATAATATCGCTTTACATATCCAAAATTAACCGTTTCATCCGTATTGGGAACAAAAACGACAGTTACAAAGCATTACTAAGTCATAGGCAAATTAGATTGCAATAAAAACAGTAGCCATTTTCGAATAGCATCACGCCTGCCGTGATAAGCGCATCCCCCAGGGGCTGGTCTATGCACAAATGGATACATTCAATACGCACTCATGAGGAAGCATGCCGTCGTTTACAGCAAATCCTGTGCAACTCACGTCCTTTACGCGCCATCACTACCCGTCTTGAATTCCGAGGGGGTCGTATATGGTGTATATGCGTTGCTGGTTGCAAGGCGGAGAAGTAATTTGTCAGTTGAGAAAAATTTCTGTCTATTACTCGATTCTCCTGTATCAGGCGCCTACACATCTATCCTAGCTCCACGCTCGACGGCAGTTTTTTTCGGGAAAAATGAGAATTTTCGATAAAAAAAAACTCCGGAAAGGTGTTGGGAGTTGGGGGAAGTTTGAGCGCTTGTATTAGGTTGTCCGGAAAGTTCTCAGCGTTTTGAGTGTTTCACTTTGAACGATCATAACTTTCTTAATACTCATCGGATTTAATCGAAATAAGCACCGTTCGAATCAGCACACTTTTGCCAATGTGACAGTCGATAAATCTCATCAAAGAAGAAACTGGGTGGTCGAGAATCCACGAAGGCTTTTTTTTGCTGGTCCTGATTGATGAAGTATTTTCCAGCAAGGAAGTTCTGAAAAATGCTTTGAAAAGGTGTAGCTGTTGGTTCAAAGGAAAATGGGGGTTGTAGGTAGAAACTCCAACCCCCAGTTCAGCTTCAATTAAAGGATTAGTTGATGTGACGTTGTGCGCGGGCGTTGTCATGCAAAAGAAATCAAAACTCTTTCTTTGACGAGTGCTTGCAATTTTCGGTATTCCGATATTTTCGATTTCTTCACAGTAGGACTCTGCTGTGATGGTTTAGCCTGGTGACAAAAGTTATAGTGGGGACTTTGACAAAAAAAACCCTCCTCTAACAATTTTGACAGAAAACCTTCCCTCAACAACTTCAGCAGGAAGCACAACAATAACTACCAAAAATCTTCAAAAAGAGAGGTAAGTAGTGCGAGATTTTATAGTTTTTTTTGGAGCAAATCGCAACACTGCTCACAGCCCTGGGTCACAAGCTTTTCTTCGCACCTTCTTGACCTGAGAAGGGAGGGCTTTCACCTTTCCATGGCTTTTCGAACGGAATTCTAGGAGTATTGATAGCGCACGGGGTGTTGATGGGAGACGCAGCTACGAGCTGGTCAAAGTTTAGTTCAAGTTGTCCGTGGACCGTACTTTGCTAGTCTCTACAAACGCTGCTGTCGTTGGCTTACGCTAGGGTTCCTAGATCGATATACATACTTTCCTAGTCGCTGGCGCTGGCGTACGCTGACGCAAAGTATGAACGAAGCCTCATACAGCACAGTGCGAGAGTTTGCGCAAGTACAAAGACAATTCTAGCGGTGGAGCTTGAGGGCGGAAGAGCTCACTCGTGTTAAATTGCAGGATCTTTTTTCGAAGTTCGATCCAACTACTGTAAATAACTCCATTCTGGATGCAGCCAGAGAATTGTGCGCTGAATATTTGGGCGGAGCTTGGTCTACGATCGACAATACGCAAATCGTACTGAAGAAGTTGAGGTAATACCCGTTCTAAATTCGTTGCTTGAGGTGACATGGATAGCTTGTAATACATTTTCAAGCTGCTACTTCTAATTCTCTGCAACCAGTGGCCCCGTTTATGATGGGTTATGTAGATTCTCACGTTTAGCATACTTCAGTAAGTTAACTAAAATTTCTAGAGGTACTTATTTCAGTGGTGGTTTGACAAATCTGGTGTTCCTCTGCGAACTTTCACCAGATGTGGTCACCCTTATGTGTGAACCAAGATCAGTTTTACTTCGTATTCAAACTCAATCGGACAGCTTGCAGTTGATGAGGGAAATCGCTGTATTCATAAGTCTGAGTGGTTCGTTATTTTCCTACTCTTTTTGCAATCATATAGTGGTTGATAGTTGTGCGCTCAGTAGTTCGAAGGTTCATATGGGTTTGGGATAGGTTGGAGGAGTTTCCACAGAGTTTCCGCGCATTGTTCTTAAGATTCAACAACTTGAAGTTGAGCTAGAGCTTGTCTGGTGTACTTTGCCAGACAAGCTTTGCGAAGCTTGATCACGGATTCGCATCTCCAATTTTCAATCTTGAACCAACTTCCTAGAAATGTCCCGAACCAATTTTCTAGAAGTGTTCCAGTTCACGTACTTCAGCTGGAGCCGTGAGCTGGAATGTTTCGCTATTGCTATTAAATCCGAACTTCAGAGGATTTGTTTGATAGACTTTTTGTTTGTAAGTAGACATCAGTAAATAATTCAGCGCATGGTTATGGACCGAATCTTCTCGCCGTGTTCCCTGGTGGTCGAATTGAAGAATTTATCCCAAGTCGAACTCTCACAAAGGAGGAGTATATTAGTGAAAGGTACAAACCTGCTGTTAATCGATCAACCTATCATAATTCTCTATCTTCAATCATAAGGCAGCGTTCAGACTTCGCGACGGCAGCGCTTCGGTCGCGCGTTCGACGCGATCGATGCGCATGCTTTCAACTGCATCGATCGCGTCGAACGCGCGACCGAAGCGCTGCCGTCGCGAAGTCTGAACTTTGCCTAATAGCGGCAATGCCAGAAGACTGAGAGCATCCTTGAAAACGGCTTTTATGAGTTAGGGTGGAGGTTTATG